TTGCTCTTTTTTGTTGGTCCTTCTCAATTATAAGATTTTTGTTAAGTAAACCATTTATATTTGAAGGAGAGCGACAAGCTCCCTCGTTTTTGGATAGGTCTGTTCGGACGTTTACTTGGTTCTGATCATTATAGCAAGTATAAATAGTTCGGTTAATACCGTCCTCAGTTAGTTTGTATATACAATTTGTTTATGTGTGAAGAATTCGACAACAGGTAGGTTTTGTGAACACTTTGCAATTGTGGAAAGGGGTTTGTATGTTTGCTATTATCACAGCGGGAGCCGACCTATAATGTGTCACTTCTTTTCTTTATTAATTCGCCGAAAATCCAGTCACTAAATAAAAATAAACAATTTTTTTTTTTTTTTTTTTTGCTACAAAACTATGGTGCCACAAAGATTGATCAGCATCTTCTTTTCTTTCGCCCTTCCGGAACACATCCACTGGCATACTTTAGAAGTTCCACTAATGAGTGATATTGATATTGAAAACAACGATGACCGCAACATCGATAGTTCCATTAACATCCATGACCTCCTGGTTCCTGAACCCCAGGCATATAACTTTATTCCAAACAAAGCCATCCTCGAACTTTTCCCAAATTTTGACAGAAAAGATTTCTTTGTCCCTGATCCAGAGAAAAAAGATCAGTATGAGGACCTTCGGGACACATTACAAACAACCATCGGCTCTTACCCCAAAAACAAGCTTCAGAAGTATTCTGCACCACCTATTACCGACCTACCATGGCCTGACAGTGCCAAGTTACGGCAGCAGTTCGACTCTGATCTGGCGTCCATTCAATCCAAGCTGGCTATCCATACGCGCCCCTTGGACAAGTATGTCTTGGATGCCATGCAAGACGACAGTCGCTCCGACGAGTCCACGCTATCAGCCATTGAGGGAGTTTCCGATCTCATCGAGCATATCAAGCAGATTAGCCATTACATCCACAACCTCCGAGTGCAGAACCTTGAGAGAGCTCATGGTCTACAGCTGCTTACCAGGAAAAGCAATGCCAAGACACCGGCTGTGGACTCCCAATCCCTTTTGGAGAAAAAGAAGCTTCTGTTATCCATCAAACGAAACCTGTATTCCAACAGCACAGGACGCGGTTCGAACAGGAACAGGCATGATCGAAACAATAATTTCCCTAGAAATAGCGCTCAGAGCAGCTATTCTAATCAAGGTCAGAGCAATCAGTCGCAGAGCCAGCCTGATAGCAACAACAACATCAGTGGCGGTAACCGGCATTTTTACAATGCCCGAGGCAACTCCAACAGGGGTCGCGAACGGGGTCGCGGCCGAGGGCATCAACAAACGACCGACCACCAGTAGGAGGCAGGATTCACTTATTCCAGCAAGCATGGGCGATGATCACAGACGAGCAATGGGTCCGGGACATAATAGCCAAAGGATTCAGGATCCCATTCAAGTCGCCACCTCCACTCTCATCCAGCCCAAGCAAGTCCCACAAGCTATCAGTGAAGGAAACAGAGTCCATAGAGAAAGAGATAGTGAGTCTTTTGGCCAAAAAAGCAATAGAAACAGTATCTTCCCCTACAGGCTTTTACAGTCGGATATTTACCATCCCCAAAAAGACAGGCGATCTTCGTCCTGTATTGAATCTCAAACCAATGAACCAATGTATACCGGACAGACATTTTAAGATGGAAAGTATCAAAAATGTCTGCTCCATGATGAACAAAAACGATTTTATGACGAGCATAGATCTATCAGACGCATTCATGCATGTTCTGGTACATCCTTCGTCGAGGAAATATCTTCAGTTCGAATGGCAGGGACACCATTACCAGTTCCGAGTCCTTCCATTCGGGCTCTCTCTGTCCCCCCTTATATTTACGAAGATGTTGCGCCCTGTCCTCAGGTGGGCAAGACGCCAGGGAATCCGAATGACGGCTTACATAGACGATCTTCTAATTATAGCTCCCAGCAGAGAACGAGCCATACAATACACCCAGCGCGTCCTATCAAAGCTTCAATCATTAGGCTTCTTAGTGAAAGAAGAAAAGTCAACGCTAGAACCAACGCAAGTCATAGAGCATCTGGGCTTTACCATCAACAGCAGAAACATGACACTCTCGATCCCTCAACACAAAATCAGAGACATTCGCAGGGAAGCGCGCAAAATAAGGAACAATGGCGTTTGCAGCTTAAGAAGTTTATCCGCCTTCATCGGGAAAGCAATGGCAATGACAGCAGCCGTATTTCCAGCTCGACTGATGTGCCAGCGCCTTCTCCAGATAAAGAACGACGCCCTTCGACAAGGCCACAAATGGACCGACACGATCACAGTGACAGAGTCGGCAAAGGACAACCTCACATGGTGGATAGACAACCTCCAGCATTGGAACGGACAAACATGGCTCACGGAGAGGACAGAAGTCGACGTTTACACAGATGCCTCGGACACAGGGTGGGGTATCGTCGTAGACGATTCGACCTATGCAGGGCGATGGACAGCCTCACAGTCTCACGAGCACATCAACGTCAAAGAACTGCGGACAGTTCTATTTGCGACAAAGCTTCCCCAACTGCAGGGCAAGACAGTGAACATAATTTGCGACAACATGACCACACTGGCACACATCCAACGGTTCGGAGGGACTCGCTCAGCTCCATTGATGGAAATAGCGGACACCATTTGGAAGCATTGCCTAGCAACAGGGACACGACTCAAGACAACATATGTCCCATCATCATTCAACCCAGCGGATGCACCATCACGCAGGATGCAATCGCAGTTGGAATGGAGCATTCATCAGGACTTCTTCGATTATCTACAGAAGATCTGGGGCCCGCATCAGACGGATCTGTTTGCATCATCAATCAACAACAAAACAGAGAGGTTCATGTCATGGAAGCCAGACCCCTTAGCGATCAACTTCGATGCACTACGGCACCCATGGAGCAATCTGGGGAATTTGTACATCTGCGCGCCATGGAACCTGATCCCTCAGGCCCTTCAGAAGCTGAGGCTAGAGAAACTACAAGCGACGATCGTAGCTCCGAACTGGCCCAGCGCCCTATGGTATCCAACTCTTCAAGCGATGGCGACTTGTGCCCCCAGAGAGATCCCACGCAAGTATGTCCTCCCAGCTCCAGGACAAGATCAAAACGTTCTAGCAAAGAATCCGCACTGGACACTGCAAGCATGGCGCGTAAACGGCGCTATTACACAGACCTAGGTTTAGACAGCGAAGCAGCGGAGACTATACTAGATAACCCTCAGACACAGCGACGGCACAAAAAATACGCCCCAGCGCAACAAGTGTTCATCGATTGGGCCAGGCAAAATGACAGGGATCCATTCACCCCCAATCCGATCCTTTTAGTTAACTATCTCAATCATCAGATGCGCAACCGTCCATGGTCTCCCGCCACCACTCTGCAGAAACGCTCAGCCATTTTAGCTCTATTTCCAGACAAATCAGCGTTTGACAAGAGCCATGTGTATAAGGACTTCATTACAGCCATCAAGGCCAAACACATTCGACCTAGCAACGCATTGAGCATCAATCTCAACCCAGCTCTTGATTATATTCGATCCCTTCCTTCTAACGAGGAAATGTCATTCCTTCAGCTCACGAGAAAGCTTTGTTGGCTTCTAGGCGTTTGTGGGTTCCTTCGTCCAGACGACATTCGATGTATAGACCTGACCAAGACTACATGGACCACAAGCCAACTCATGCTCTTCATTCCTATTCCCAAAGAGAAACGACTTGGGAACCGCATCGAGAAGACAGTTTGTATTCGTTCCAACAGTGATCCGAAACTGTGCCCTGTGAATACATTTGCTGCGTATTTGCAAAGATTAACAGATCATCCACTGGAGGTACCACATCCGAAGGATGACAGTCTGACAATTCAACCTCTCATCCGACATTCCAAATATTTGAATCGAGCAGTATCAGCAGAAACCATTTCCAATCACATGGACTCGATCTCAACTAAGATCCCAGAAGTGGAAAAGGCTTCCCGACGTATCAAGCCACGCGCACTCGGCTCTACAGCTGCAGCTACAGCAGGGGTATCGATTGACGACATCATCGCTCATGGTAATTGGTCTTCTCCGGAAACTTTCCAATATTTCTACCGCATGGCTAGTCAGACAAGAACGAATTTTACTGAGATCACCCTGGGACAAAACTCTGGATGCACATTATAGGTCGGCTCCCGCTGTGATAATTACACAGCGTTCTCGAATAATATGAAGAGAAAAGCATATTATCCGAGGGAGCCGACCTATAATGTCCCACCCTCCTCTCCCTAAGCTAGCCTGGTCCGGAGCTCAAGTCGAAGATGCTGATCAATCTTTGTGGCACCATAGTTTTGTAGCAAAAAAAAAAAAAAAAAAAAAAAAAAAAATTTGTTTATTTTTATTTAGTGACTATGGATTTTCGGCGAATTAATAAAGAAAAGAAGTGACACATTATAGGTCGGCTCCCGCTGTGATAATTCGTAATTGGCCAAGGGAGAGAATCTCGTTTGAGAATAGGATATTCTGTCGTTTTTTTTTAATAAAAAGCCTTGTCCTGCCATTGATCTCCAAACTGTGTGCGCACCGTCCAGTGCCGACTCTGGCATTGCCGTTGTTGATTCCAGATGTAACAAGGTAGTTGAATGCTCGGAGCCCAATCACCAACTTTTTATTTATTCCAATATCATCCATCTTCACGATTTTTAGCTGGTTGGAGTATTGAGTGAAAAGCTCTTCTGTTGGGACACTTGATGGAACAGCATCGTGTGATTCTGCATGGGGATCTGTCCAGTTGTCTCTTGAATAAAGCTCTGCAAGTTATTGTCAAACTATTTTCTCCAGCGACAATTACTGCGCCCATCAAACGCTCTAGTCCTTCATCCCCACCAGCCCCTATTACAGGGAGGTGCTCAGGAGTGGCTGGCTCGTGTGTTTCCAGAAACTGACTTTCTAATTTTGCTGCTTTGACTTTGACCTTTCCCTGGTCATCGTCGACTTTCAAGATCTTGTGGGGCTCTGGGAGGATGGATCGCACGAGCTCCGGTGCTTCTGGGTGAGGATCATTGCACGCCCATTGATGTGATACACAGAGGCGTTCATGTTCACGAGTGTTGACTGCAACATATTAGTTGGTACTGAACCACAGAGGCTCGTCCAGATGTCTGTAGTGTCTTCAATATCGGAATGGGGTCGTTGTGATCCTACTATCGCATCTGTCTGGTGAGCTCCATCATTGTCTTCATCAACAATGCTTTCCTGAAATTCTCCTGTGATCTCTTCACATCTTCTGCAATGATTCTTGGCTTTTTTTCGAGGGACCGTTTTTTGACATCTTGGACAAACAACTTGAGTGCCATCAACATAATCTCCGGTTTTCAGAGGTCGAAACACTAAAGCCTCGCCATTAAAAAATGTCACCAAGTCCTATCATGGGAAAGAATATGATGTGAGGTTTTTGCTTTTTTTTTTTTTTTTTTTTTTTTTTTTTCAACACAATTACTTTTCACACCTTTGAAGTCATCGCAGCCAGTTCTCTAAAAAAAAATTAATGACAGAACTTTTGAGCCATTGTTCGAGGTACTTTTGAGCCATTGTTCGAGGTACTTTTGAGCCTCTGTCGAGGTACTTTTGAGCGAGTGTACAGATTCTAGTATTTCAGGACTAGTATGACATACTAGTACTAATACTAGAGTTGAGTACTAAAGTTACAGATTTTAGTATTGCTTCAGTACATACCGATTTTTTTTTGCCATTCTTTGGATGCATGTCACGGGAAAGGTAGCCGACTATTATACAATCCCCCTTCCACAGCTGCAAAGTATCCAAACTCACCATCCCTCTTCACAAAACCTGTCGTACAGACCATCTGGTCTCTATGGTTCCTGAGAACGCGGATATGCGTATATGGAGTACTCAGGCACTCTGGGAGCATTGTAGAGATGGATTTCATAAATGCATATTAATATCAATTTCACCCTCGTCCCGAGCGCTCTTTTTTCTGATGAAGTGATACTAGACGCAGTATGAGTATGTTATACTAAACTTTCGTTAGTTTGGTACGCAGTACGAGTATACCATACTGGGCACTTGATACTAAAGTCAATACGATCTTTTTATATCTATATGGATTCGATAACATACCTCTAGCAAAAAAGGGGCCGGAAAGGTGTTTTGTTTTTCTTTAGGCAGGAAATAAAAAATGAAAATGGTAAATGGGGCTAGATGCACTAAAAGAGTGGAGGCAAGTAAATGGTGGACATGGTGCATCGTGATGATATAGCTTGATATATGGTGTTTGCTGATATTTTTTTGGTGATTGATTTTTTACTAATTAATTTTTACTGATTTTTTCCCACAAACTCATAGGCGGATCAGATCCAGTTTTCTGCGCTCCATACTAGCAGAAATCAGCCGCCTATTACATACAAAGGAAGGAAAAAATCAGTAGGAAAAAATCAGCAGACACCATATATCAAACTATACCATCACGATGCACTATGTTCACCGTTTACTTGCCTCCACTCTTTTAGCGCATCTAGCCCCATTTACCATTTTCATTTTTTATTTCCTGCCTAAAGAAAAACAAAACACCTTTCCGGCCCCTTTTTTGCTAGAGGTATGTTATCGAATCCATACAGATATAAAAAGATCGTATTGACTTTAGTATCAAGTGCCCAGTATGGTATACTCGTACTGCGTACCAAACTAACGAAAGTTTAGTATAACATACTCATACTGCGTCTAGTATCACTTCATCAGAAAAAAGAGCGCTCGGGACGAGGGCGAAATTGATATTAATATGCATTTATGAGATCCATTTCTACAATACTCCTAGAGTGCCTGAGTACTCCATATACGTACATCCGCGTTCTCAGGAACCATGGAGACTAGATGCTCTATATGACAAGTTTTGTGAAGAGGGATGGTGAGTTTGCATCCAAAGAATGGCAAAAAAAATCGGTATGTACTGAAGCAAATACTAAAATCTGCAACTTTAGTACTCAACTCTAGTATTAGTACTGTATGTCGTAATAGTCCTAGAATACTAGAATCTGTACACTCATAAAAAAAAGAATCACCGGTGTAAAGAAACACACCACAGATCGCACAGTATCTACTCGCTCCTTGGTTGCTTCTCGTCTTGAGAGCTTCAAATACATCTTTTCGGATCATTTGGGGTTGTGATAGCATGTTGTTGCAAGTGGATGGGTATGAATGAATGCGAATGGGTATAAATGAATGTGAAGGGAGGGGAGATATTTTTGAAAGCCTTTCAATGTCAAAAGTGATCAGCTTCCAGAAATTTTTTTATTTTTGCATCTTTCTTTCTTCCTGGCTAATCCATCAATCCATTCATTGAATCCAACCTGTTCATCTATTGAATCTATTAAATCCATCCATCCATTATTCTGTTGAATCAATATCTATTCACTATCGGCTCCTTTCATCTTACTGTAAAAATCCATATCTCGAATTATTCAACATAATTACCAAAGGTAATAATAATGATAATGTGAATCCGTGAGATTACATGTTGTTCCTTGAATGCGTATCCAGGTCATTGTGGGCCTATTTGGCCATTTAATTGAATGTGCACTCGCTTTTTACCGTTTAATTGATCGCGCGCTCTTTCTCTCTTCCATCATTTTATTGGTCGCGCACTCTCTTTATCATCACGCACTCTCTTTTTACTATTTAGTCGATTGCACACTCTTTTTTTCCCCTTTAATTGATCACGCACTCTCTCTTTACCATTAAATTGATTGTGCACTCTCTCTTCACCATAAAAATGATTGCACTCTTTACCATTAAATTGATCGCGTACTCTCTTTCTTTATCATAAATTCATCCTTTAATTGATCGCACTCTCTTTTTTTATGAGTGTACAGATTTTAGTATTTCAGGACTATTACGACATACAGTACTAATACTAGAGTTGAGTACTAAAGTTGCAGATTTTAGTATTTGCTTCAGTACATACCGATTTTTTTTGCCATTCTTTGGATGCAAACTCACCATCCCTCTTCACAAAACTTGTCATATAGAGCATCTAGTCTCCATGGTTCCTGAGAACGCGGATGTACGTATATGGAGTACTCAGGCACTCTAGGAGTATTGTAGAAATGGATCTCATAAATGCATATTAATATCAATTTCGCCCTCGTCCCGAGCGCTCTTTTTTCTGATGAAGTGATACTAGACGCAGTATGAGTATGTTATACTAAACTTTCGTTAGTTTGGTACGCAGTACGAGTATACCATACTGGGCACTTGATACTAAAGTCAATACGATCTTTTTATATCTGTATGGATTCGATAACATACCTCTAGCAAAAAAGGGGCCGGAAAGGTGTTTTGTTTTTCTTTAGGCAGGAAATAAAAAATGAAAATGGTAAATGGGGCTAGATGCGCTAAAAGAGTGGAGGCAAGTAAACGGTGAACATAGTGCATCGTGATGGTATAGTTTGATATATGGTGTCTGCTGATTTTTTCCTACTGATTTTTTCCTTCCTTTGTATGTAATAGGCGGCTGATTTCTGCTAGTATGGAGCGCAGAAAACTGGATCTGATCCGCCTATGAGTTTGTGGGAAAAAATCAGTAAAAATTAATTAGTAAAAAATCAATCACCAAAAAAATATCAGCAAACACCATATATCAAGCTATATCATCACGATGCACCATGTCCACCATTTACTTGCCTCCACTCTTTTAGTGCATCTAGCCCCATTTACCATTTTCATTTTTTATTTCCTGCCTAAAGAAAAACAAAACACCTTTCCGGCCCCTTTTTTGCTAGAGGTATGTTATCGAATCCATATAGATATAAAAAGATCGTATTGACTTTAGTATCAAGTGCCCAGTATGGTATACTCGTACTGCGTACCAAACTAACGAAAGTTTAGTATAACATACTCATACTGCGTCTAGTATCACTTCATCAGAAAAAAGAGCGCTCGGGACGAGGGTGAAATTGATATTAATATGCATTTATGAAATCCATCTCTACAATGCTCCCAGAGTGCCTGAGTACTCCATATACGCATATCCGCGTTCTCAGGAACCATAGAGACCAGATGGTCTGTACGACAGGTTTTGTGAAGAGGGATGGTGAGTTTGGATACTTTGCAGCTGTGGAAGGGGGATTGTATAATAGTCGGCTACCTTTCCCGTGACATGCATCCAAAGAATGGCAAAAAAAAATCGGTATGTACTGAAGCAATACTAAAATCTGTAACTTTAGTACTCAACTCTAGTATTAGTACTAGTATGTCATACTAGTCCTGAAATACTAGAATCTGTACACTCGCTCAAAAGTACCTCGACAGAGGCTCAAAAGTACCTCGAACAATGGCTCAAAAGTACCTCGAACAATGGCTCAAAAGTTCTGTCATTAATTTTTTTTTAGAGAACTGGCTGCGATGACTTCAAAGGTGTGAAAAGTAATTGTGTTGAAAAAAAAAAAAAAAAAAAAAAAAAAAAAGCAAAAACCTCACATCATATTCTTTCCCATGATAGGACTTGGTGACATTTTTTAATGGCGAGGCTTTAGTGTTTCGACCTCTGAAAACCGGAGATTATGTTGATGGCACTCAAGTTGTTTGTCCAAGATGTCAAAAAACGGTCCCTCGAAAAAAAGCCAAGAATCATTGCAGAAGATGTGAAGAGATCACAGGAGAATTTCAGGAAAGCATTGTTGATGAAGACAATGATGGAGCTCACCAGACAGATGCGATAGTAGGATCACAACGACCCCATTCCGATATTGAAGACACTACAGACATCTGGACGAGCCTCTGTGGTTCAGTACCAACTAATATGTTGCAGTCAACACTCGTGAACATGAACGCCTCTGTGTATCACATCAATGGGCGTGCAATGATCCTCACCCAGAAGCACCGGAGCTCGTGCGATCCATCCTCCCAGAGCCCCACAAGATCTTGAAAGTCGACGATGACCAGGGAAAGGTCAAAGTCAAAGCAGCAAAATTAGAAAGTCAGTTTCTGGAAACACACGAGCCAGCCACTCCTGAGCACCTCCCTGTAATAGGGGCTGGTGGGGATGAAGGACTAGAGCGTTTGATGGGCGCAGTAATTGTCGCTGGAGAAAATAGTTTGACAATAACTTGCAGAGCTTTATTCAAGAGACAACTGGACAGATCCCCATGCAGAATCACACGATGCTGTTCCATCAAGTGTCCCAACAGAAGAGCTTTTCACTCAATACTCCAACCAGCTAAAAATCGTGAAGATGGATGATATTGGAATAAATAAAAAGTTGGTGATTGGGCTCCGAGCATTCAACTACCTTGTTACATCTGGAATCAACAACGGCAATGCCAGAGTCGGCACTGGACGGTGCGCACACAGTTTGGAGATCAATGGCAGGACAAGGCTTTTTATTAAAAAAAAACGACAGAATATCCTATTCTCAAACGAGATTCTCTCCCTTGGCCAATTACGAATTATCACAGCGGGAGCCGACCTATAATGTGTCACTTCTTTTCTTTATTAATTCGCCGAAAATCCATAGTCACTAAATAAAAATAAACAAATTTTTTTTTTTTTTTTTTTTTTTTTTTTGCTACAAAACTATGGTGCCACAAAGATTGATCAGCATCTTCGACTTGAGCTCCGGACCAGGCTAGCTTAGGGAGAGGAGGGTGGGACATTATAGGTCGGCTCCCTCGGATAATATGCTTTTCTCTTCATATTATTCGAGAACGCTGTGTAATTATCACAGCGGGAGCCGACCTATAATGTGCATCCAGAGTTTTGTCCCAGGGTGATCTCAGTAAAATTCGTTCTTGTCTGACTAGCCATGCGGTAGAAATATTGGAAAGTTTCCGGAGAAGACCAATTACCATGAGCGATGATGTCGTCAATCGATACCCCTGCTGTAGCTGCAGCTGTAGAGCCGAGTGCGCGTGGCTTGATACGTCGGGAAGCCTTTTCCACTTCTGGGATCTTAGTTGAGATCGAGTCCATGTGATTGGAAATGGTTTCTGCTGATACTGCTCGATTCAAATATTTGGAATGTCGGATGAGAGGTTGAATTGTCAGACTGTCATCCTTCGGATGTGGTACCTCCAGTGGATGATCTGTTAATCATGGAGCAATCTGGGGAATTTGTACATCTGCGCGCCATGGAACCTGATCCCTCAGGCCCTCCAGAAGCTGAGGCTAGAGAAACTACAAGCGACGATCGTAGCTCCGAACTGGCCCAGCGCCCTATGGTATCCAACTCTTCAAGCGATGGCGACTTGTGCCCCCAGAGAGATCCCACGCAAGTATGTCCTCCCAGCTCCAGGACAAGATCAAAACGTTCTAGCAAAGAATCCGCACTGGACACTGCAAGCATGGCGCGTAAACGGCGCTATTACACAGACCTAGGTTTAGACAGCGAAGCAGCGGAGACTATACTAGATAACCCTCAGACACAGCGACGGCACAAAAAATACGCCCCAGCGCAACAAGTGTTCATCGATTGGGCCAGGCAAAATGACAGGGATCCATTCACCCCCAATCCGATCCTTTTAGTTAACTATCTCAATCATCAGATGCGCAACCGTCCATGGTCTCCCGCCACCACTCTGCAGAAACGCTCAGCCATTTTAGCTCTATTTCCAGACAAATCAGCGTTTGACAAGAGCCATGTGTATAAGGACTTCATTACAGCCATCAAGGCCAAACACATTCGACCTAGCAACGCATTGAGCATCAATCTCAACCCAGCTCTTGATTATATTCGATCCCTTCCTTCTAACGAGGAAATGTCATTCCTTCAGCTCACGAGAAAGCTTTGTTGGCTTCTAGGCGTTTGTGGGTTCCTTCGTCCAGACGACATTCGATGTATAGACCTGACCAAGACTACATGGACCACAAGCCAACTCATGCTCTTCATTCCTATTCCCAAAGAGAAACGACTTGGGAACCGCATCGAGAAGACAGTTTGTATTCGTTCCAACAGTGATCCGAAACTGTGCCCTGTGAATACATTTGCTGCGTATTTGCAAAGATTAACAGATCATCCACTGGAGGTACCACATCCGAAGGATGACAGTCTGACAATTCAACCTCTCATCCGACATTCCAAATATTTGAATCGAGCAGTATCAGCAGAAACCATTTCCAATCACATGGACTCGATCTCAACTAAGATCCCAGAAGTGGAAAAGGCTTCCCGACGTATCAAGCCACGCGCACTCGGCTCTACAGCTGCAGCTACAGCAGGGGTATCGATTGACGACATCATCGCTCATGGTAATTGGTCTTCTCCGGAAACTTTCCAATATTTCTACCGCATGGCTAGTCAGACAAGAACGAATTTTACTGAGATCACCCTGGGACAAAACTCTGGATGCACATTATAGGTCGGCTCCCGCTGTGATAATTTTTTATTTCTTTCCCTTCTACGATTTTTGACCTCTCGCAATTCGTGCGGTCGATGGAACTGTTTTTTTTTTTTTTTTTTTTTTTTTCTGTCAAAACCAACTACTCTCTTTGTGAATAAGGGCCCTGCAATGAAGGAATGAAGGCAACACCTGTTGCAGAGAGGAAAAGTAAAAAAAAAAAGAAAGAGAGAGAGACGGTAATACCTGTTGCAGAAGGAAACACTTGTGGTAGTGAGAGGAAAAGAAGAAAGAAGGTTTCAGCTTTTGCAAAGAGAGAAAAAAAAAAAGAGAAGAGGATGGAGGATGTCAGATGCAGAGAGAGAAAAAGAGAGAAGAGGGTGCAGAAAGAGAGAAAAGAGAGAGAAGGGGAACAATGACGAAAAGAAAAGAAAGAAAAGACCAAAAGCAAATCGTGAGAAAAATAAAATGAATGAATGTGAAGTGGCCCCCCTGAAAATGATCAGCGCGAGATGACGTTGCCCACGATACATTTTTTTTTTTTGTGCTAGACATTTGTTGTGTTTCCAACTTATTTAATTTACAAAGAGAGTATTAAAAGAACCCTTCCGATGAAGATTAATAAAAAAAAAACAAATAAATAAAATAATAAATAAAAAAAATATATAAATAAATAAAAAAAACTAAAGAGGCAATTGATGACGAAGAAATAATGGTGGAAAGAGTGAATCAAGCGTATCGGGAATATTCAATACACGAAGATCTTCGAGACTCCGTACTCGGCTCAGTGCAACGTATGCTTGCCCAGAACAAAACATGCTGCTCAAGTCCACCAGGGCTGCGGGTAGAGTCATTCCTTGTCCTCGATGAACTGTCAAACCGTACGCCAACAACAAAGGGAACTGGCTCCTTGATCTTCCACCCTTGCTGACCTGACGAACAATCCGCTGAACATTCACCACCCTGTTCTGAGCTCGCTCCAACTGCACCCGGATGCCGTCTCCAATTTCGACCACAACCCCGAACGTCCCATTGATGATATCTCTTGAAAGATTCGTCGTAATGATGACTCTTGCTCCTTCCCACAAGACTAGGTTAGTCAACAAACCTGTCTCTCTCTCCATCATCTTTGATCTTTCATCCCCATCTTGGCCTGGTCTGGAGCCAATATCATCCATTGCCCGGAACACTCTGATGTCTTCTTCCCGCACCAATTGCCTCGTCAGATTCTCATTGACCGATTGTACTTTGGATACCCTTGCCGATATGAACGTGTGGGGCTTACTCAGTTGGTCATCCACATCCAAATCCAGCTCCCGCGCTCGTAATATTTTCATCACAAAATCCAGCTCTTCCTGCGAATTCGGACCTCTTCTAATGATCGAAAGAAAGTGAAAGAAATGATCTTGGTCCGGCCCCTGTTGGCGACAAGGGGAAATAAAGTTGATCCTTGTGAATTGCGCAAAGACTGGTGTTTGCCACACCCATTCCTGATGCATGTCTGCATCCCCTCTCCATCCTCTCGACCCACCCTTCCCTTCCCTGATCCGCACCACTGGCCCGAGCTGTCCAAAATCTCCAAAGCAGACTACAGGGATACCTCCGAAGGGCAGATTAACCACATCTGGATCTCTACCTCTGCCAATTGCCTTCAAAGCCAAGTCCATTTGCGACAACATCGTGGCCGACACCATCGATATCTCATCCACAATAATACATGGTTGTCTTCCTCGAGCCCAAATCTGATGAATGTTCCAGCCAAGGGTAAATAAGTTTGGGATGGAGACCTCCCGATCCGGGAGCTGTGTCACTTCCGCGCCAAAGAACCGATGGATGGTCATCCCATTCACATTCACAGCAGCCACACCCGAAGGCGCGAGCACCACTGGCTCGTACAACCCAGCCCCTTGAAGTCGGATCACGAGCTTACGCAAGAGTGTGGACTTTCCTGTTCCTGCTGGGCCCGACACAAAGTACATTCCAGGGCTCATCATTATCCTCTCCAGCGCCTCTTGCTGCTCCTCATTAAGCTCTACCCCTTCGTCATCCACCTGCATTTCATCTTCGTTGCCGTTATTTGGGGCCGGTAAAAGTGGCAACACTGTCTCCATGACATGATTCGGAAGAACTGCTAACCCAAGTTCAAAGATGGAATTCATTTCAGAAACTTCCAACCATCTGTCGCAATCAATCCTCATTGGCAAGTGCAGCATCATTAAATGAGCGCAGGTGTCATCCAAATCCACCATCGGTGTCCTTCGATGGCGCACCACACAAAAATGGTCTCCTTCGTATGCCTTGTATTTCCTTGGAGGATTATGCCCATCCAGATATGTACATTGAGGATCAGGAGCCAGATCATCATATGGAGGTTCCCGTTGTTGCCCTGCCACTCGTCCAAACACCTGCCGGAACTTCTTGTAGAACTCTGGATAGGTCATAGTCTCAAAAAGGGTCCCTTGTGGACGGTTTAAATACTTTATCCAAGAGTCATCTTCAAAAACCTCCTCATCATCATCGTCTCGAACCGCACGGATGACTCCTTTTCGCTCCGATGGCAAATGTGTTGGGAGGTAGCGAACAGCATGGCTTTTACCAGACATGTAGTAGCTTCCTACATCCATCACCACCTCTGGCAGGGAAACACGATTGTAATAAAATTCTGCACGCCATTCAAAAATAAAAAAAAAAAAAAAAAAAAAAAGAATGAAAAATAAAAATTAAAATAAAAAGAACAAAAAAAAAAAAAATAAAATAAAATAAAAATAAAAAAAAGTTCAGTTAAGAATACAACAATTACATTGCACTAACAATAACAAGCTGTACTCCAAAAGCGCTTACTGTTTCCATCCCGGATCCTGACCATTCCATCATATTCTTGTTCTTGTCCTAACAATTTAACAGGCAATTATTCTTTTATTCTTTTTTTTTTTTTTTTTTTTTTTTTTTCCTCCTCCGCTTTTTACCTTGCTCTGTGACGACAGATCCCTCGTACGGAGTAGCTGACTCGGTAATGTACTTTGAAATATAATTTAAAGCGCGTGCTCCACGGTTCAGCTGAACATCAATGTTTGAACCACAGTACCGAAGGATATTTGCATTGTAATTGTTGATCATCCGGTCCTCTTCTTCACGTGCGTACAGAAATGTCTCTGTTGTTGGTTCAAACATTGTCCTTGGGCTTACTGGCTTTGGGAAGCCAAACCTGCACCGGACGACACCATCGCTTCCCTTCCGCATGCAATAAGCTTCTGTATGCTTATGGATCTGACAGGCATGGACAAGGCGGCGAAGGTATTCGCTCTCTGGGGTCGAGGAACAAGTGACGACAACGAGATCCTTGTCCTCTCCCGCGCACTGCTCTATCAGTGTCTCGATGCTTCTCCTTGCCCAAAGAACTGCATGTACATGTGGACATCCACGCTCCTGATACTCCACAACCCAAGCATAGGCTCTTAGCCCTCCCAACACATAGTCCGCCCACTCGCCGTGCACAAACGACCAGACTCTCCTCCACTCCCGCGAATATGTCATCACAAATGCCGGTACGTCTTCGATGGCTCCACGATAGTCACGTTCGATTTTGCTGAAGGCTGGGGAAGCCAAGTTGACGGACCATGTAATAAATACCTCTGGCGTCCCAAACTCTCGAAACATCGCCATCATATCTTGGCGGAGAGAGCTCTTGTATGAGCTCCCCATCCGGATGCTCTGAGGGATGGCAATCGTCCTCTCCCTGTCTATATGTCTTCCTGCTCGTATTGAATAAACAATAATATAAATATGACGCTGTATTAATATAGAAATACAGAACAATCAATTGAGACGATGTTTTTTTTTATTTTTTTTTTCCTTCATACCAGCGTAAACATCCTCACGACTTGTCCTTCGCCCTCCTTGCCTTGTTGAAGTTGTTGTACGGAGGCGGTAGCCGTACGCGCAATCCTTGGTAATCCAGTCGGCAATAAAGCAGATGAACCTCGCATTTCTGGCAAAATGAGGATCGAAGTGCAACATCCTGTATTTAGCGTAGGCCTTAATGCTGTAGTGTTCTTCCCCCTGTTCATCTGGCACCCGGAGAGAGACCTTGTAGTGCCATAAGGAAAAGTGGCCGTGTCCATATGGGAAAAGCTCTGGGAATAGCATGACGAGCAAATCCCTGTTCGAGAACTTTACAGCTTCATTGTCTTCATCTACATTGATCCCGACACGCAGGCCCGTCATCTCCACATCCGCTGCCCGAGGCCCAGGATCAGTACGCTGGACTACCGTCACTGGGAACTCCCTGTTTGCATGGGCTCGTACGGCTGGATCCTCCAAAAGTCGAGCTGTGGCTACTGGTTGAGGTAAACCCGAAGCATTCTGGTACACAGGGTTGTTCCCTTGTAGCCACTCTCGAGCCTCGATAGCCCACTGCAGGTTTGCGGCTTCCGCCTCTCCGCAGAGTGCAGCGCTCATCATCCCGTCCCAGTTGTATAGACGCCTTGCCGACCGGTAAATCGAGACTTGGCCATTTATCCTTGGGAAGGTTGCTGCCTTAACCTGTCGTGGCTCAAAAGGAGTGTGGGTCATCACTAAGCACACATATTCCATATCGGACCACCGTAATCGAGCAAGCACCTCAGGTGTATCCTCATCGCGCACCCACCCCTGTGCAGTGTAATGTAATAAGGGATTCCCCCAAAAGCGATTGATGAACGAAATCTATTTCATTATATTCACAATACATTTTGCAAGAAGTATATTATTAATTATTATTTTTTTTTTTTTTTTTTTTTTTTTTTTAAAATCACCAAAAGCTTAAATGATTGATCACACTCACGTACAAAATTCAAGGCATTGTTGTTTAGCTTTTGGTGCGCCTTGCATGCTGTAATGGCCCCATTCTTGATTGTTGGCTCCTTCCCATACTGCTGGCATGGCCAAGGGATCTCATTCAGTGGGATGGTGAGATCGGCTGACGGAATGAGCGGCGTTGTTTCCTCTGGAAAGAGGATTCTACAACAGACACAGCAAAAAAACTCTGGAAGTACCCCTGCTCTTGCGAGGCTATTCTGTAATACTCTTCTCGAAAGCAACGGCCCAGAGTCCATTTCTTCATCTTCGATAAACTCTACCGGCACCTCTTCTTCTTCTTCTTCTTCTTCTTCTTCTTCTTCTTCTTCTTCCAAAACCTGTTCCTCCTGTTGCTGTTCCAAAGGCCATCCATCATCCTCATCAACCACAGGGATGTCCATATATTCAGCATCATCACCACCATCTTCTTCTTCCGACTCCCTGTGGCAGATAGAGAGGTCTAAAAGCTCATACTCGTCATTAACGCCTTCTGAACTCCGCAAAGGGACATCCAATAAATGATCTTCTATCGCAACTGTTCCACCACTGACAGTTGCAGCCTCTCCATGCTCATAATCGCCTGCGTTGGAAAAGGACATTGTGTTTATAAGAGATGAGAGCAAAAAGTAGTTGAATGTAATGTGAAATGAGAGAGGAAAAGAAGCAAAGAAGGCAAAAAGAAAAAAAATTTAAAAAAAAGACCTCATTTTATTTAAGCTTTTCATTTTATTTATTTTATTTTTTATTTTTTATTTATTTCTTTATGTCTTTATTTTATTTTTTATTTATTTTATTTTTTTTATTTTTTTTCTTCATTTCCACCTTCGTCCTCGTCTTGATCCCCGTCCTGATCCCCGTACTGGTTCCAATCTAAGTCCAGTGCTTACGCTACTACCGATACTCGGTGCCGGCGATAGCTTATCCGTGGCCGCACTCTGTGCAGGGCTTTTCTTCACCCCAACATCTCCCCCCGGATTGCTGAGATGTCTCTTGCCATGGCCCGAACTTTGGAATCTTCTATCCAAAAGTTTTTCCTCCTCCTCCTCCTCCTCCTCCTCCTCCTCCTCCTCCTCCTCCTCCTCCTCCTCCCTGCCTCCTCCCTGCCTCCTCCCTGCCTCCTCCCTGCCTCCTCTTCTCCCTCCTTCTTCTCTTCCTCTCCTCCTTGACTTCTTCCTCTTCCTTCTCCTTCTTCTCAACCTTTCCCATCTTCCTTGTCATGCTTCTCGTGGTTCTCGTGGTTCTCGTTCTTTCTGACTTGGGGATGTTTGGATGCTCTGTAACGATCTTGAATCGGCTTGGCATGGGGATGGAAATACGACTCTGCGATCGGTTGATGGGCGAGACTGAAGTCGATGGCGACGACAACAACGACAGATTGGGAGGGCTTTGTAGTAGTGATGGCTGCTTGGATGATACATTGGTGGAGGAGGAGGCGCGAGAAAAGGGAGCGCGAGAGGAGGAGGCACGAGAGGAGGAGGCACGAAAGGAAGAGGCATGAGAGGAAGAGGCATGAGAAGAAGAGGCATGAGAGGAAGAGGCATGAAAGGAAGAGGTCCCAATCACCGCTGCCACTCTCGCTACCATACCAGCCCCTACTCCAGCGTCTACCTTGTTCTCGAAGGTCTTCACCGGAACTTCCTGCAGATCCTCATTACGGACCACCGACGTCTCGATCCTAGACATCGTCTCGACCACCAACCTGACACTGACAGCAAAGCTGTGGGTACCACTTCTCTGGTACCCGCGAGCTTCGAAGACACCGGCAACCTCGAACCACTGGAAGTTCTCGCCGCTGCGGTACAGCTGCATGAGATGAGCGTATGCAGGATGGGCCCTCATCTCTTCCAGTGTACCGTTGGGGATGACGATCTTCCCCTTGCATTGCTGCCCACGCATGGTGTACGTTGCCGACGCCCACAAATTGTCCTTCTCATCCCTTGCAGGCGAGAACACTTTCACAACCTGAAGGGGCATCTCGAAGCGAGGGAAATCCATTGTAATTAAAAATAAAGTAATAAAGGTTGATAATATATGTCTGAGGGAGCAAAGGAAGTAAAGGAAACGGAGACAGTGAAGGGAATGAAAGCATTGAAGGGAATGAAAGCATTGAAGGGAATGAAAGCAGTGAATCAAGAAGAAAAAAAAGGGAAGCGAAATGAACATGAAGAAAAAAAGAGGAGGTGAAAAAAGCACACGACCAAGCAACAGATCACATCAATGATCATCAGAACAAAAAAGGAAACCATCGATCAGTAAAATCTTTTTTTTCATACACCATCACATACATTTAAAAAGCCCATGTCTTCACAGACTGGGGCCTGGGGCCTCATCTTTGCATCATTCGAGAGGGAATCTCATGCTCTTACAGCTACTTTGCGCATTTGAAAAAAAAAAAAAATAATCTCGCGACCCGTCACTTTGGAGAGCAATAACTCATCAAAACTGATGCTGGGGGCCTGGTTCTTGCATCAATCGAAATGAAATACCGCGCTCTACCGATCAGCCAAATTTTGTAAAATAGGACAAGGTCCGCACGGTCTCTCGTCCATATCTCATGATAAAACCAGAGCGTTCAGTATCCGCAATTCCAGCAACGGACAAAAATGGAAACACAAAAAAGATCAAAAAAGGCATCAGAAAAACCAAAAAAGGCGTCAAAAAAGGAAACACAGCAAAAAAAAAAAAAAGCACAATCCTTAATAAGGCAATCGATATTTTTTTTCAGCCCATAACTTTTCAGAAGATTTTTTTTTGATTGAGCACTAAAACAGGGTTTTCTCCATAATGCTATAGGTAGATCTTTCTGAAATTTGAGTAGCTGTGAGAGCTTTTGATTACCTTCCGAATGATACTCGGATAAGGCCCCAGGCCCCAGTATTGGTGAAGATATGGGTCTTTATCCTCGTAGCCATGGTCCATATGTGTGTGACCTCTTTTATTCCTTCTGACCGAGAAAACTAAAATAAAATAAATAAATCTAGCGTTCGCTCTGATCTACTCTCTATCTTCTTTTTTCTCGCTCAGGAACACATCCAGCGTATTGAAGTTCCAAATGAGCGAGTATGACACTTCTGATCCAATTATACACTCTCTCCAGAGCCAGCTGGCTACACTCACCAGCCGGCTTGAAGCTCTCTCGACTAGCTCTGAATCCAGTCGATCGAACCCCTACTTGGTTCCAAAAGAACCAGCTTACGAAATTACACCTGACGACTCCCCAGCAATGGACGGGAAAGATTTTTTCAAACATAAATCTGGAAACCGTGCAGACGATCTTGCATATGCAACAGAAATGGCTAAAGAGATGCAGTCTTTTGCCAAAAACACAACCCAAACCTATTCTGCACCCAAATCGGCACTCATTGACTGGCCCGACTCTTCCTCTCACCACAGTTCCATGGACAAAACAATCTCACGCTATCAATCACGATTGGCAAACCTTACAAGACCACTTGATCAATTTGCCACGGAAATGTTTTCCTACGAAGTTGACCCTGCGGTCGCACAAGCGTGTTTACAGCTCGCACAGACAATGCGTGAACATATTGCACACCTGGCACAGCAAATGTCAAGCGACAGAGAGGACCTTGTTTACCAAGCGCACAAAATTTCAGTCACCAAGGACACAGTTGATCCACCAATTGTCTCTACTTCAGACTTCATTGAAGCCAGCAAATTGGCAAAGAGTGTTCGTCAGGCTACTAACCCGACAAGACAACGGGCATACAACAGGAGGACTCAAAACCGGAGTTTCTTTAGCGCAAATACTTACAGACCCATTTCTAATTCTAGCCAATCTCATCCATCGGGTCAAACTCAGACCGCCCACTATCAAAATGACAATGGTTCTTTTTTTGGGCAAGGCCGAAATCCAAGGAGAGGGGGACGAGGCCGAGGCCGAGGCTACCAAACCCCTCAATCCAACCAGACAAGTCAGGCACAGACTGCAGGCCAGCAGTAGGTGGCCGTTTACAGATTTACAGAGAAGCATGGGCTCTCATAACCGACAACGAATGGGTCAAGTCGGTCGTCTCCGAGGGATTCAAAATCCCTTTCCACAAACGGCCACCGATATCCAGTTCAACAGCGTACCAAGCTCGAGTAGCAGCGGAGGAAGAGAAGGCGATCGATCAAGAGGTAATCGCACTCTTAGCCAAAAGAGCAATAGAGGTCGCTTCGGGCCCTGGTTTCAAGAGCCGAATATTCACTATCCCCAAGAAAACCGGGGACATTCGTCCAGTCTTAAATCTAAGACCGTTGAATGCCTACGTCTCAGAGCGGCACTTCAAAATGGAGACGATGACGACAGTATGCGCAATGTTACAGAAGAACGACTTTGTGACAAGCATCGACCTATCAGACGCATTTCTTCACGTACTAATCCATCCAGATTATGGATAGCGAAGACGACAAAGGAAGTCTTACGCTCATTATCCGTACCAGCGACCCTTTCCTGTGTAATCTTTCTCTTTAATAAATCTCGAGCTACAGAACTACCCTTAAACTAAAAATAAACTTTTTTTTTTTTTTTTTTTAAATTCTCTCTGCTGGCTGATCTGGTACTACATCTTTCTTTTTCGACCGCTAAGAATCGTATGCTCCTTGGGTGGCCGTGGGCGGGACAGGAAAGGGTCGCTGGTACGGATAATGAGCGTAAGACTTCCTTTGTCGTCTTCGCTATCCATTATCCTTCATAGTCCAGCGACCCTTTCCTGTGACTCCAGAGATCAGCTAAGAATGGTTGTTGTGAAATTGCACCTGGTTCTACTTGACAACCGGTAGAAGTTCTTGTAAACCTCTTGCGAGGCCCATCGGCCCTGCATGACGATCTCATCCAGGTCGGAACCTTTGAGGGCTGCTAGTGTGGAACCAGCGGCGCGTGCCTTAGGAATTCGAGTTTGTGATGGCATGGAAGCAAGGGACATGACACTCTTGATGTGGTTGCTTATTCGTTCCGCTCCTGTAGGTGAGTCTGGTTCGTTGACGTAGCGAATGAGAGGGTTATATGATAGATCTGGGAGCGTTGGATGTGGCCATTTCAGATTGCGGCCAACTAATCGTCGTACATAAGTCTTCCATGTGGCAACCAGACATAATAGTGGGTCAAGTGTATGGATGGAAAGGAGAGAGGATGTATCTTGGTGGACTCCTTGCCTTGTCTGTTTCGGTCTTACTACGTAGACGTGTATTCCTTGTCTAGTTTCTTTACAACGTGAGAGGTCGATACGTTCGATATCGCTAGGTCGAAGAAATAAACACATGCCTAATAGCCAACACAATTTTTTGGTCAATTCCATGGGTGAAATGGTATCGTTGTCACCTAGAGCTCGGAAGTAGTCGAGAACTGGCGTAATGTCGATATCTATATCTTTAGCAGGACAGACTTGATTGGCTTTAAGGACTTTGAAGAATTTGTTGAACGTATAGTCGTCTTCGAATACTTTTGAACCTGGGTATAGGCCTTTGAGATGTGCTCGATACGTTAAAATCGTCTGAGGTGACCAACCTTTAGCTCGTTTACCCCAAGCAAAGTAGTTGATGAGTGCTGTTGGGTTGGCCCTAGCGGGGTCAATATGGTTCCTTTGGCACCAACTGATGTATCCTTTCTGGATATGGTTATATTTTTGACTTTTTTTAGTCTCTGAGGCCGAGTCAAGTAATACCTTTACGGCGTCCTCGTTGAGGCCTTGCTCCAAGAGACCTTGGCGCCGTCGATATTCCAGGCTAGCAAGCACCATGCCGGGTTCTTGTTCAGGATCCCCGGGTCTCGTGGCGAGGATGAGTGCACTGCTGCTCGTGTTAGATTGAGTGGCGTCGTCGTGGTCATCGCTCGGATAGTCGGGTACCATATCGCTCCTGTCCAATTGGGTGTGATCACCGTGGCTTTGAGGCGCTCTCTCTTTAGACGGTCCAGAATTTGGGGAATCAGGTTCCATGGTGGACATATGTATAATCTGCCCAAGTTCTTCCATGGTTGCAGTAGCGCATTCTGCTAGGGCGGACGGGTCGTACTTCCACGACATGTATGTCGGAAGTTGAGTGTTCTTGTGAGAGGCAAATAGGTCGATCTTGTGTGGTCCCCATAGTTTGTCTATGGCTTGGAAGCATTCGGGTTTGAGGCTCCATTCTAGTTGGGTGTTTAATTGCCGGCTGGGTGGATCCGCCGGGTTGAACTCCGATGGTACGAAGGACGTCGAAATCATTGTCCCTGTCTGTAGGCAATGTTCCCAAATCTTTTCCGCAAGTTCCATTAACTGTGGTGACTTCGTTCCTCCAAATTTGTTCACATACGCGATCGTCGTTGTGTTGTCGCAGTACAAGTGAATTCGTTTGCCTTGTAATTGAGGTAGCTTGGTGGCATACCATACTACCATCAGTTCTTTCCAATTGATGTGTTGGCTGTGGTCCGACTGGTTCCATACTCCTAAGTAGTGATAGTTCTTGTGGACTATTCCCCAGCCCGTGTCGGACGCATCCGTGAATATCTCCTCTTGAGGGGTTTGGGTTATCCAAGTGTGGCCGTTCCATTCTCGCAAATTGGTTATCCACCACTGGAGGTCCTCCTTGGCTTTCGTCGTCAACGAAATAGATGCCGTCCATGAATTCCCTTGTCGGAGAGCTTCGTTTCTCAGCTGGGTGAGGTTCTGAGTTCTTAGTCGTGCTGGAAGGACTGCTGCTGTCATGGACAGAGCTTTGCCTATGAATGATGCTAATGCTCTCAGAGTCATTTCTCCTTTCTTTATCATCTTGGATGCCTCTCTGCGGACATCTCGGATCTTGTTCTTGGGTACCGACAGTGTCATCTTGGGCTGTCGATTGTGAATCCTAGGTGTTGGACTGTCTGTGTCGGCTTTAGATGTGATTTCGACTCCTTCACCTTGAATCCTACGGATGCTAGTCGCTGGAGAACCATCTCGGTATGTATCTCCGACAACTGTTGTGATGAGGCTACTATCAGGATATCGTCCAGATACGCTGCTATCCTTATCCCTTTCCTTCTGGCCCATTTCAGCACTGGTTTCAGCATCTTGGTGAATACGTAAGGGGCTAACGACAGCCCGAAGGGGAGCACCCGAAACTGGTAAGTTTTCTCCTTCCATTGAAATTGAAGGAACCGGCGTGATTCGGGGTGTATTAGAATATGTAGGAAGGCATCCTCTAAGTCTATACTCGTCATGTAATCCTTTTTGTTTATCATATTGCAAACCGTCTTCATTGATTCCATTTTGAAATGAGGGGGTGAAATAAATTTGTTCAGTGGCTTTAGGTTCAATACGGGGCGTAGATCCCCCGTTTTCTTTGGAATAGTAAAGATGCGGCTCACGAACCCATGTTCTGAAGCTTCCTCTATGGCTTTCTTGGCTAATAATGCTACAATTTCTTGTTCTATCGTCTTCATTTCTTCTTTGGAGCGGACGCTGCTGTGTGTTGTTGTATTGCTGATTGGTGGTAGCGAATCGAACGGGATTTCGTATCCATTCTGAATAACTCTGCGTACCCATTTCTCGTCTGTTAATAGATTCCATGCTGTTTGGTAGAGGTGTAGTCGACCTCCTACTGGCGCCCCCTTCCTTGTCCCCTTCCCCGTGTGGAAGGGGAGCTCCGAAAAAATTGGCCGCCCAAGCCGTAATTATTATTTTGCTGTGGTTGCGTTGTTTGTTGGCTTTGAGTCTGAGGGGTCGCTTGTTGATACTGCTGTGTTTGAGTAGCTGAATTGTTTCCAAAGCGACCTTGCCTGCCTCGGTAGTCTCTACCTCGGTTAGGATTGCTGTATTTCTTGACATTTTGCGAAAGCTTGGCATGTTCAAGTAAATCGGCTGTTTCGACCAGTTGGCGTCTGGTCGATGTGTCTGGAGGAGTGATAAATTTCTTTTCCTTGTAGAATGCTTCAGTGCGGATTTTATTGATCTGCTCGCAGAGCATGGATATTTGAGTTTGGACTGTATCCAGGGTGCGGAGGATATGTAGTACTGGAACGTCCTCACCGTTTTGAGAGACAAGTGCATGCGCTGTTGCAGCGAGTGGCCTCGTAATGTGTGCTGCTTTTGTTGCCAGTGTGACCAATTTCTGATCAGCATTCTTGAGACTATCGGAAATAGCCCATTCTTTGGGGATTGCTGGAGGTGTGTATTCCATATCTTCCACTTTTGGAAATTGGCTAATATCGTAGTAACGTTGTTCCTCGTCATTAAACTTAACTGTGTGGAATTCTTTTCGTCTCTTGAGGGAAGGCATGACCTGTTCCAAATCCTCGTAGGGTGCCAGGTAGCACAGGGGCTCCGCGCGACGCATAAATGGGTCTTGGATTGGTGTGTCTGGCTGGTGGAACGCGCCTCCGTTCTGGGAGAACTGCGTGAGAGCACTGATAGCTTGCAGGATCTCCGGAGGGAGGGCATATCTGTTTTCTGGAAGGGAAGTGTTACTGGGTAGGGTGGATGGTGGAGCGGGGTTGCCCTCCAGGATCGAAGGACCGGGATTGCCGTCCGTAGAGTTAGAAGCAGTGTATGTGTTGTGGACATTGTTATCGTTGAAGTTCATTTTTCTATGGAGATGGACGTGTTCCGGAAGCTCGAGAAAAAGAAAGATGTAGTACCAGATCAGCCAGCAGAGAGAATTTAAAAAAAAAAAAAAAAAAAGTTTATTTTTAGTTTAAGGGTAGTTCTGTAGCTCGAGATTTATTAAAGAGAAAGATTACACAGGAAAGGGTCGCTGGACTATGAAGGATAATCGTCATTATCCATCGAGCCAGGACCATATATGTGTTATCTTCTTTTATTGCCTAATTTAGCGAACTTTTCAAAAAACTACCCTTAAATAAAAGAAATAAACTATATAAATCTGCTCTGCTACCAAGTTGGATCTGCATCTTCTTTTGTTTCGCCAGGAACGTATCCGCATTCATTTTAGATCACTACTGCTACTTCCCCTTATGTCTATCACTCAAGATGAAACCATCGCTTCACTTCAACAACAACTGGCTACGTTGGCTAGCCAATTCGCTGATCTTCAGCGCTCCAAGGAGGAACAAGATCTAGCCATGGAGACCCCTACTCTCATTCAAACTTACAAGCCCACACAAGATGATCTCGAACGCTTCCCCTTCTTGGAACCAAAAGATCCTTCTTCCGTCTTTCAACAAGACATTACCGACGAGAAGCTTTGGGAACAGTTCAGACAATTTCCAAAAACATTCATTGGCCATATGAACCTCCCAAGCTCCCTTCAGCTGTTTCTCTTAAAACCCATCAAAAACATCATGATCAACAACTTCGAGCGCTACAAAAACGGTTACTCAACCTTACTCGCCCACTACATTTGTTCGCTCACCAAATCACTTCCATGGAAATCGATGATAAAATGGGTACCGAAGACATCGCCGACATTTGCGGCACCTTTGTCACACTTATGCAGGAACAGATTACTGGTACGATCGGCAGGATCAACAACATGCGACTTGAAAATCTTCATGCCGCAATGGGCTCAACCTACAAGCAAACATCATTGGAACTTGTGGATCCAACTAAATTCCAGGAGGAAATTAAGACCAATAAAGCCTTACAAAATTTTTTCAGCCCCCGACAGTTTCAAACTAGCAGTAGTTCAGATAGAAAAAATAAGACAAACTCTAATTCGTCTTACAACTACAAATTTGGCAACAAAAGCAACGAAGGCCGTTATTTTTACGGGGACAACAATTACAGACGGGGGGACAACAACTACAGGCGAGGAGACAGCAACAGCCGAAGAAAGGACAGCAGCTACCGGAGATCAGACAGCCGCCGGAGAGACCGAAGCAGCAGCCGCCGACGACAAGAGAGAAAGTCGGGGGAAGAATCACACTCTTCTTAAACGCATGGCGAAATGTTACAAAAGATCAAACACTCCTAGAGATAGTCAAGGAAGGTTACTCTATCCCGCTCTTGAACGCACCCCCAATTTCAACATCCCATCCTCCACCTTACCCGCTATCGGAGAAGGCGACAAAGAGTGTGGACAACGAAGTGCCCGCTTTGCTAACGAAGGGTGCAATAGAATTCGCGAGTGGACCCGGATTTACAAGTCCGCTCTTCACAATCCCCAAAAAGACTGGAGACGAAAGACCTGTCCTAAACCTGAAAGCATTAAACCAGTACTTACCTACACAACACTTCAAGATGGAGACAATCCATCAAGTATGCAATCTAATAAAGAAAAACGATTATCTTACCAGTATAGATCTGAGCGATGCATTTCTTCATGTGCCGATACACCCAGCATCACGAAAATATCTTCAATTCCAATGGAGGGAACAACTGTACCAATTCAAGGTCCTACCATTCGGACTCTCCCTAGCACCATTGATTTTCACCAAGATACTGAAGCCTCTACTTCAATGGGCACGAACAAAAGGAATAAGAATATCAGCTTACCTCGACGACCTGATAATCGCAGCACCGAGCAAGGAATCATCCCAACGTGCAACAGCACTAGTCTTGACAAAACTGAAAAGCCTAGGTTTCTTGACAAAGGAATCCAAGTCGAGTCTTCAACCGAAACAGATACTGGAACATCTGGGATTCGAGATAGATACAACGACGATGACCCTGAGTGTACCGGGCAAGAAAATCCGGGACATTCGTCGAGAAGCGTCCAAACTGGCCAACAAAGGGATCTGCACAGTCCGTCAGCTATCATCCTTCATAGGCAAAGCGAGCGCAATGACAGCCGCAGTCTTTCCAGCTCGCCTCAAGGTTCAGCACTTCATGGCAGACAAGATTCATGCATTGAAAAATTGGATCCCTCATGGGAACGCTCAATATCTCTGTCAACCAAAGCAACGGAGGAACTCCTTTGGTGGAGAACACATCTCAAATCATGGAATGGGAAGACATGGATCGCAACCAACCCAGAAGTCGACATTTACACCGACGCATCGGATTCAGGATGGGGCGTAGTCATCAACAACCAGACAATCAAGGGATCTTGGTCAGACAGTCTTCGAGAACGACACATCAATTACAAGGAAATGCAGGCCATTTTCTACGCCCTGAAACAACCAGAAGTGAGGGGACGCACAGTGAACGTGATAACGGACAACATCACGACAATGGCTTACATCAACCACTTCGGCGGGACACGATCTCCAGCACTGATGACGCTAGCGACATCGATATGGGAATGGTGCCTGAAGACAGAGACAAGGATCAAGACAACCTACGTGCCCTCAGCATTCAACCCCGCAGACGCCCCATCCCGGCGCCTGACAGGACAACTAGAATGGAGCATCGACAAAGAATTCTTCAAAAAGCTCCAAAGACGATGGGGCCCTCACCACGTCGATCTATTCGCCTCGCCAATAAACAACAAAGTGACGAAGTTCATGAGCTGGGAACCAACTGCAGGAGCAATAGGGCACAACACCCTTCAACATCATTGGCGCCAATTCGGCAACGTTTACTTATGCCCGCCGTGGAAGCTCATCCCCCTAGTATTGGAGAAAATCCGAGAGGAGAAGATAGAAGCAACCTTAGTGACACCTTATTGGCCTTCGGCGATGTGGTATCCAACAATCAAGATGATGGCAGTGGACCATCCAATACCAATACCTCGCCATCAAGTTCTCCCAGCGCCGGGAAACGCACCAGACATTCTGGCCAAAAATCCCCATTGGTCATTATGCGCTTGGAGGGTAAGAGGCGACGACTCGAAGCGAAAGGCTTCGACCCAGCCACGGCATCGATAGTTGTGGACAGTCCTGAGTTACAACGCAAGCAACGCGCATACGCCAAGATACAAGACAGGTATATCCAGTGGGCCACAGCACGCAATGTAGTCGCCATGGTACCACAGCCACCTCAACTATGTAACTGGCTTGCCTCCGGAGTCGCAATCCACGGATGGTCAGCTTCAACAGTGGACGCATATAAAGCCGCAGTCATTCATATGTATGACGACAAGAGCACATTCAACGATCCGGACTTTCTGTTATTTTTCCAAACTCTACGTCGTCGTGAGATCAAGCATACAAAGGAACTCAATATAGACATCAAACCCGCTGTCGAATATTTACAACAACTAGGGCCTAACAGTTCTCTCACTCTCCTTATTCTCACACAAAAACTGTGTTGGCTACTCGGTACATGTGGGTTTCTCCGACCAAACGATATCATGTGTATCGATCTATCAAATGACAAATTCCATATCGATGGCATCGTTGTAGTCCTTCCAATTTTGATTCCCAAGGAAACACGTGGTGGCAGCAGGATATGCAAATACACCACAGTTAAGAATCACACCGACAGTTCCCTTTGCCCGGTGATGACCTTCACCGAACATCTCAAAAGGATTGAGACTCACGCTATCAGCGTACCGCACCCTAAGGACCAAAGCATTCGATATCGTCCTTTAATACGAGATATCAGAGACCTCAAAAAACCCGTGGGAGCTGATCGAATAAGCAATCATATCTCAGCCATCAGCAGCAAGCTCATTCTTCCAAATGGCTCCAAGTTACCCAAAGCCAGGGCTATTGGTTCCACCCAAGCCATTAAACAAGGCGCCAGTGTCGACGATGTAGTGGTACAAGGCAATTGGTCTTCATCAATTCTGTTCGACAAGTTCTATCGACTGAACGCAGCAACAGCCACTAATTTCACCTCGATGATACTGTCTTAAGGAATCTGCTCTGGATCCACATATATGGTCCTGGCTCGATGGATAGTAGCTGGCCAAGTCGAATAACATGACGACTTAAGCTTATTATCCGAGAGCCAGGACCATATATGTCCCACCCTATACCCACCCTTTTGTCTTTAGTTTTACTATTTTTTCCTGGCTCACTATCAAGAAGATGCAGATCCAACTTGGTAGCAGAGCAGATTTATGTATATATAGTTTATTTCTTTTATTTAAGGGTAGTTTTCTGAAAAGTTCGCTAAATTAGGCAATAAAAGAAGATAACACATATATGGTCCTGGCTCTCTGATAATAAGCTTAAGTCGTCATGTTATTCGACTTTGCCAGCTATTCCTATGTCAAAATATAAACCTTTTGCTGCTGTAGACAATGTTTCTTTTTGTTGTCTTACGAGGCTAAGCATTAAATTTTCTAACGAGGCAAGAGCCGACCGTGGCTTCGCCACGGTCTCCGGCTCGTAATGCTAATAATAATAATAATACCTGATAAATCACTCTTTGTCTTAATTTCGTTTGTTGATGATGATATATATTGGTCAAGAATGGTCTTCGACTGTCGTTGACCAAAAGTTTGTGCCGAGACTAATGCCCGATTGGCTACGACCTCTGAGTTAACTGTAACTTCCAGTTTGGCCCAAAACCTTTCTTCGTGATGTTGGCGAAAATTTTCAAAGGCCTCTTGCAGTCTTTGTTTTCTGTTTTTACGGATATTATGATAGGATATGAGTATTTGATATGCATCCGTCGTTGACTCTTGATGACTAAGTTCGAACTTATTAACGAAGTTTTCCAATGAGACATGCTCGATGCCCTCAGATTTTTCCATGAGCCATTCCAGGTGTTCTTGTGGAATTGAAGATGTAGCTAATCGTAAAAAAGTAGTAAGTACATGTAATAAAGCGTTGTGATAATAAATATTCCTGTAAAAATTAATGGGCACTGCTGCAACCACTTCAACCGCTCGGCTGAGACCAGCGGTACACAGCTGGAGTGAATGAAGCGGGGCCTCACAGTATTCTTGCCCATTGTAATGCAGTCGGATTATTGAGGGCACTGCTGCGGCCACTTCAACCGCTCGGCTGAGACCAGCGGTACACAGCTGGAGTGAATGAAGCGGGGCCTCACAGTATATTTACCCTCTGTACGACGCCAAATTTGAAAGAACTAGAAGACCATCAAATTACTTTACCCTTACTGGCCATTTTCTATGTAGAGAGAGAGAGAGAGAGAGAGAATGAAATAGATGTTAGGTGTAAAGACAGGCGTAAAAAAAAGGCGCGGAGAAAAATAAAATAGTCTACAGAAATAAAAAAAACAAACAGGACCAGGAAAAGAAAATAATCAGTAGAACAAGTCAATGTAAAAAATAAGATCACAGAGTGACGAATGTACTTATGAGAGCAAGTGAAAAAGCAGCGTGAAGAGGAGGTATAATGGGTTGGTGATCAGAGGAAATAAAAAATATGCAAAGCGAGAAAAAAAAATTGGTGCACAAGAGAAAAAATTGGAGAGGGTGCGTACAAAGACAAGATTGAAAAAAAGTTCAGAGAGAAAAAAAGCTGTGCAAAGGAAAAATAGTGCACAGAGAGAGCCAGAGAGAGCGAGAGAGAGAAAAAAGATACACAGAGAAGGGAGAAAAAAAAATGCGCAGAGAAAAGTGTGTCGAGAGAAGCGAAAAAAAATAAAATTGGTGCGTAGAATAAAAGTACATCGAGAGAAAGAAAAGAAAAAGAATAACGCAGAGAGAAAATAGGTGCGCAATGTGAGAGAATAAATAGATGCGC